TGTGTGTGTGTGTGTGTGTGTGTGTGTGTGTGTGTGTGTGGAGGGGAGTGAAAGCCATCTGATGGGCTGAAGTTGGGGAGTAAAGAACCAGAAGAGATCTTTACCTTTAACTTGACTCAAAATGAGCACCCATCGTTTTGTTTATGAGATTACATTAAAAAATAAATACATCTGAACAATTTGTGTAGGTTCCTATGATTAACAACCTGCTCAGGAGTCACCCTACATCTTGCCTTAAAACAGTTGAGTTAGTTTTAACCCCAAACACAGGAAAGAAGCGCTGTTGTTGCAAGTGTTGTTGTTGTATAATTCCGTCAGAACAAGAAATGGAAACTTTTTTCCAACGCTCTGACAAGTTGGAAACTGGAATGCTTTCAAMTCGGAACTGACATCAGTCCGACTTCACAATTTTGAGTTCYGCTGYAACTGGAACGCCACATAAGTTTTCCTGAATAAAATGTCTGCCCAAGAGCTGAAGTTTGGTCGTGCAAATGGACAATAATCCCAAACACAGCTCGGAATCCACAACAGAAGCCAAAGTTCAGCCTTTATCCTGACTGAAATGCTGTACAGGGGAGYGTTGTGTATAAATGAATGCCTCACTGAACAGAGGTAACACTGTAAAGTAGATTTGGGTCAAACGTAAAGGACAAATACATTTATATATCGTAAATGATCAGAGGGCTGCCACTCTGACAAACTGCAAACAGAATTCGAAAGAAAGTTTCCAAAATCTTTTGAAACATAAGTAAGGATTTGTGTTGTAGGGYCTCACTCCTGTGTCACAGGAATTTTAAGAAAAATTAGCAATATTAATGATATTAACAAGGTTAATAAGTGTCACTCTGTGTGAAGTGACAATTTGAGAATTTTCTTGCAATTTTGTGTCTCCAGTTAGTCCCTTAAAGTCGCAGCCCTGTGACCATTTTAGCATGTACATATTTTTACTGTCTAAATTACCTCTCCAGTTAATTTCATGGCATCTAATAATTGGTACAGAAAACACAAACTGCCTCAAGTTTATCTAAAGAAATGCAGAGGTAAAGGCCCTGTCACACTAGACAACTTATGCTAACTAATAAAACATTTTTATATCTAAATTGCTAAGAAAAAAGTTATATATTTGATCAATTTGTTAAAAAATACATTATGTACACTCTGAAAAGATGATTCCTGTTGACTTTTTTTTTTCATTTCCATCTTCAACGTAGACATCTTTAAAATGTTCATAAGTTGTCTAGTGTGACAGGGCCTTAAGGAATGATTAAGCAGAATACAAATACATCTCTGACTGGGAGGTGATCCCCGACAATCTTTTTGATTAACCCGGGTACAATGCAAGGTCAAGACGTTGCACACATGTGGGTACACATTTACTGACCTCCGTGCTCCTTGCTGCTGCGAAGATTGGAAAGGAAAGGGGGGGARGTAGATGACGGAGAACGAAACAGAGGCACATGTGTTTACACTGGCAGAGCGAGCCGCCAGCGAGCTCCATGGGAATGGAGAATACACATGTAGTGTGGAGAAAGCTCCACCGTGACTGACGGGGGCCTGCGAGGCTTTGAGGATCAGTAACAATCAGCAGCAGAGTGTTTCTGATTGGGTTTTACTGTCCGGGTTGGCCACACCAAAAGAAAAAAAAAGAGGCAAGGAAAAATATCTGTCATGGGAGAGCAGGATAAGACTATCCTCTAAAGGTGAAGGAGTGCAGCAAGCAGCAGGGCAGAGTTTGATGGGTTGTCTGCTGACTGCATACAATTCCTGCACTAATGAAGGGTCTGGAATGCCAAGGACGTCCCAGCAGAGTCATTTGTGTGACTGTCTCATTTGGCAATGCCCATAATTTCATCCCCGGAGAGGAAAATTCATCTACAAATCTTTGCGGTGCACTCCCTCCTTCATGTTTTGTCGATATGTTTCTGCCATGTGTTCCAAGCCCCGTTTTCCCCATCTAATTGTTTTCAAAGGGAAAATAACAACCGGGGGGTTGGGGCTTCAGTGGGTTCACAGAAGACCACAAATTCTTAAATGTTGGGCATAAATTTTAAAGGCAAGGAGGTTTTATCCACAAAGCCTCGCATTACTATAGTTCACAGTACCATCTGTCTTCTGGCAAGAGAAGGGATTTCTTGTACTGACATTTGGACGCTCATAAACAGGCCCGGACTCCATTGATTCACATAATTGCATTAAGTGGCTCTTGTCCTTTTCACGGCAGCTTTATGGTTATAGATTGACTCGCAGAGTTGAATGTCAAACAGGAAATGGTCCAGCAGGGAAGGGGAGAAAGGGGGTTTATGATGGCCAGAGGTGAAATTAAAGTGTGAATAAATTAAAAGATAAACTAGAAAAAAGACCAGATTTGCCCCATCAGTTGTCAGCAGAGACATACAGCTCGTAAACATAAACATGTTTGTCACCCAGCTGACCTCAGAGAACAACACAGAAATTCTTCTATTTTTTTCAGAGGAGAAAAATATAAAGATGATCCACTCTGATATTCTTTGGCCAAGCACCAAATGTCCTGAAAAACTTTTAAATGTTTCCATATATAAAAAAAACGTCCTTTTATTTTAGGACACCAACCATGATGCAGTAATAAGCTGAAGTTATTTAAAACAAAAGCGCCCCCTGGTGGACATTTAAAAGCATTGTTTGTTAAAGAGGCTGACAGCTTTGTTTTTATTGTTTATCTTTCATAGTGGTGGGTAATAAATGCATTTGCATGTTTCTATTTATTTGTTTGTCTGTTAGCAAAATTTTAATGAACAACTTAAGAGACTTTAAAATTCCTTTTGGAGTCAACCTGATTCAAGATGGCCGGCACAGCTAGCCAAGCTTAGCACAAACATCGATAACTAATTTTACAGATTGAGATAAAATTTGACATGTTGGTAGCTGAAAGCTAACCTCAACACATACTGTGCTGTATGCAGTAACAGATGCCTCAAGATCTTTGTTTAGAATAAGAGAGGGCAAAATGCATTAATTCAACAAATGACACTTTTTATTATTACACACAAATGATGAAACTAGCCTCTACTTAGTGACCGTAGTGAGGCAGACTACTAGGGTACCATAAATATAACTAATATTAAACTAAAACTGATGTTATGAATTTTAAAAATAATAAGAAAAAAATTTAAAAAGCACTAACACAAACCTCTGTACGTTAGTTAATTCTTAAAATTGTTTTATGT